CCAGCCACTCGGACAGCTGCTGCAACAATCGGTTTGCATAACCAAAGAATTTCTGCACAAACTGTCAGAAACCGTCTCAGGGAAGCTCATCTGCATGCTCGTCGTCCTCATCGGGGTCTCGCCTGACTCCGGTTCGTCGCCGTACCGACTTGAGTGGGCAATGCTCACATTCGATGGCGTCTGGCACGTTGGAGAGGTGTTCTCTTCATGGATGAATCCCGGTTTTCACTGTTCAGGGCAGATGGCAGACAGCGTGTGTGGCGTCGTGTGGGTGAGCGGTTTTCTGATGTCAATGATGTGAATCGAGTGGCCCATGGTGGGTGGGGTTATGGTATGGGCAGGCGTATGTTATGGACGACGAACACAGGTGCATTTTATTGATGGCATTGTGAATGCACAGAGATACCGTGACGAGATCCTGAGGCCCATTGTTGTGCCATTCATCCACGACCATCACCTCATGTTGCAGCATGATATGCAAGGCCCCTTGTTGCAAGGATCTGTACACAATTCCTGGAGGCTGAAAACATCCCAGTTCTTGCATAGCCAGCATACTCACCGGACATGTCACCCATTGAGCATGTTTGGGATGCTCTGGATCGCGTATACGACAGCGTGTTCCAGTTCCTACCAATATCCAGCAACTTCGCACGCCATTGAAGAGGAGTGGACCAACATTCCACAGGCCACAATCAACAACCTGATCAACTCTATGCGAAGGAGATGTGTTGCACTGTGTGAGGCAAATGGTGGTCACACCAGATACTGACTGGTTTCGGACCCCCCCAGACCCCCCCAATAAAGCAAAACTGCACGTTTCAGAGTGGCCTTTTATTGTGGCCAGCCTAAGCACACCTGTGCAATAATCATGCTGTCTAATCAGCATCTTGATATGCCACACCTGTGAGTGGGATGGATTATCTCGGCAAAGGAGAAGTGCTCACTATCACAGATTTTTTCAGATTTGTGAACAATATTTGAGAGAAATGGTTATTTTGTGTATATAGAAAATGTTTTAGATCTTTGAGTTCATCTCATGAAAAATGGGAGCAAAAACAAAAGTGTTGCATTTAATTTTTTTCAGTGTATTTCCATCCTCACGAGCCTCGACACTCCTAACTTTGATGGATAAAAAGCAATAGAACGCGTGGACATTTGGAAATCAATTTGCCACTGTTGACTTTCATTAAGTTATAGTTACGCTGACAGTCTCTCAATATGTTCTCAAAATAAACTAAATGGCATTGAAGAGTGCATATCTCTGTCAAGGCCGTTTCCATACAGTAAGTGATTAATAAGTTGTGTGTCAGCCTGGGGATTTTGGATCTGTTCCAACATGTATTTGGTCCGCGACCTTTACCCATTCTACATACTTCTCCACCATTTTAAAAAAATCGGGCCAATGCTGACAAACAAACAAAAAACTAACAACATATGTGGAGGTATAATGATCGAAACTTCTTATTATCTATGGTAATGTATTATTTCCAAATGCATATACAATTTAAAACTAGTTAAAAATGGATAGGGGTTGACAACAATCAATATACAATTGCTGGTTGGGGCTGAAAATGAAATGTTTAGCTTTTTAGCTGGAACTAGCACAACAACCCGGTATCTCCTGCAAATCTGCACTCGGTCAAGTTTGCATTGTGGGTAATGGATGAAGCAGGTTTTTTGCATGAAAGTAGAATGTTGAGCATAAAAAGCTGTTTTTGTTGTTGTTGAGTCCTTCTCTAAAGACAGACAGATTAAAACCTGCCCTGCACAATAACGTTTTAACCTGTGACAAAGTTTGATCACAATTCGATCCAGAACATTTGATCCATCTCCTCAACTCATTCTGTTGATATAGGCAAATAGATGTGCCAATTATTTTTTAAAAAGGTTCCGTAATTGGACTTTTTGGATGTATGTTTTTTAGGTCAATAAGAAATTAAAGGCTCACCGTTTACTTTGGAGTTTCTTTAGCTTGTTCCAATATGAGTTTGTTTCCTGAAATAAGTCATCATTTAAAATGTGGCTCCTACTTTGAGGCTGAGAGTCTTGGGTGTGCCTTTCAGATAATCAGCCTGCGGTCGTTTCTTCAAGGACACTCTTCGAGGCTCTGGGGACCGGTCAACTTCTTGTTGTTCTTCTGTCTTGTCATTTCCAGCTTGCTTGCTGCAAATTCTGGATTCCACTATAGAAACACAGAAAAAAGTTTCATGTCTGTAAACTTTAGCAACCCAAATCCTTCCAAAAATAAAGTGGGTTCGAAGACAAACAGCATGATTGCTTTTATAGGGTAACTTTCATAGTGAGGAATCATTTGAAATAGATTTGTGTTTTGCAGTTTGTGAAGTGGTTTGTTGCTGTTTGATGTTATATAAAAAACATACAGTAGATGTATCCGGATGACTGTATGCTTCGCCTCAGACTGAGTTATTTCACGATTTTCACAATGTTCCCAAGTTCTATTTTACAGTAGCTTTTATGATCTGGAGAAAGCAGGAACATAAACAGACCTTAAAGTAAACTTCACAAACTCTCTCACACACACACAACCACACACACACACACAAGCCCCACAACTCTGGATGAGAAACACTAGAGGGAACACGAGTACGGACAATGAATAATGCAAAAGATGACCATGCATCCATCCTACACCTCCAACATCATTCCTCTAACTTGTGTCGAATTCATATCTATACTGAATTGAATGTAGAAAATAATGGTTCAGGAAGTACATGCAGAAGTGCAAAATCCTCAGTCAAGCTTCTGCTACAGGATGTGTCTGCTGTAATCAGAATACATGCCCAGTGAAAAGAGCAAAAATATGTAAGAAGAAAGACACAAGTGTGTGGGATGATTCAGGAAATAAATGTTGTAATGAGTGGAGAGAGTGCTTTAATAATTTTAAATGTGTCATGTGTCAGTCATTAGCGTCATGTGTCATGTTCGTCATTAGCCCGCATGGTTTTTCATACCACTGCTACGCTGACGACACCCAATTATTATGTCCTTTCCCCGCTCAGGACCCAGGTCGTCGCACGCATCTCTGCTTGTCTAGCGGACATCTCTCAGTGGATGTCTGCTCACCACCTCAAGCTCAACCTTGACAAGACTGAACTGCTTTTCTTTCCGGGAAAAGATGTCCCACTCTTGACCTGACAATCAACATTGGCACCTCTATTGTTTCCCCTACTCAGACTGCAAGGAATCTGGGTGTGACCCAGGGGCGGACTGGCCATTGGGAATACCGGGAGTGTCCCCGGTGGGCCGGTGCTGTGTGAATTTTTTTTTTTTGCTTACCTAAATCCTACCGGCCCACATTTGTAAGTGTTCCGGCCCAGCCCAGCCCAGTGGGGTGTGGCCAGGGTTGGGTTGTAACGGAATACATGTAACGTGTTACGTAATCAGAATACAAAAATCAAGTAACTGTATTCAGCTCGCGTTACATTTGAAAAACGAGTAATCTGATTACAGTTACTTTCGTAAACCTGAAGTGAATACATTTTGGATTACTTATTGGAATTATTGGTGGAAAGAGTTCCTCAACATTTAATATTCATTACTAAAGGTACAGCCGAATCATCAAAGCCCACACAACCTATTACCGCGCAGATGGACCAAAAAGGGGAGCGTTTGAAAAAATGTTGCGGGTCCGCTCAGTGAAACAATAACAACGTAACATGGAGGAACAAAAGTCTGCGTTTAAATCGTGTGTGTGTGTGTGTTGTGGTGTGTGTGTGGTGTGTGTGTGTGTGTGGGTGTGTGTGTGTGGTGAGTGTGGTTAAAACACATCAGCCACACCGCTCTTTAGCCTTTCTAATGATTCTGAAGGTAACAGTGAAGGCGTGCGTGAAAGGCGGTGCGTGAAAGGCGGTGCGTGAAAGGCACGCGCGCTCCTCTTCTCAGAGGCTGAGTTAACCCTCCCGCTGCCTCCTGGTGCTGCAGAGATTTCATGAAGTGAAGGAGGTTTTTCCTTCTATAAAACAGCTGCGGGCAGCAGATACTGTGAGAGTCACAGACATGAATACATAGATCAAGGCAGACTGGTGCACACACTCTCCTGTTTTGCCAATCCGGTGCTTAAATAAATATAGCTCTACACCCCTGGCCGAAATGTCCTTAAAATGAAGTCCGAGTTCGACATTTTAATTAATGTCCTAACAACACTGGCAGGACAGAAGGCGACACGCCCTTTCTAAGCCATGTCCTCACATCCCAAGCTGCATCCCCAAAAAGTTTATTATGTTGTTACAACAGGGTTCAGGGGGAGTGGCTGTACGGCTGTACCCGTAGGATAGAAAAGGGGGAAGTGATGTCTGACTCAGAGGTCGCGGTGTGGAGAAGAACGTGTTGCCCACATTCTGTTACTGAGTTTAGGCTAGTTAGCTAGCAGGTTTTTGTTTTGGGTGCAGTCACTTTTGCCTCCACTTGCTGTTCAAATAAATGTTGAAAGAAAAAGTTAATCTGTTTACAGTTCTGTTTTATATGGGTTTGAAGAAGAAGAAGAAGAAGAAGAAGAAGAAGAAGAAGAAGAAGAAGAGAAGAAGAAGAAAAGAAGAAGAAGAAGAAGAAGAAAAGAAGAGAAGAAGAAGAGAAAAGAAGAAGAAGAAGAAGAATTAGGGAGATGAAACCCTCTTTAATGGTCACACATGCAGAGCACACAGCACACAGTGAAATGTGTTCTCTGCTTTTAACCCATCCTAGTACCAGGAGTCTAGTACTAGGAGCAGTGGGCAGCTATTGTACAGCGCCCGCGGAGCAATGGGAGTGAGGGGGGAAGGGGGATGTCTGGTGCCTTGCTCAAGGGCACCACGGCAGGAGGTGAACTGGGACCTCTCCAAGTAGAAGTCCACACTCCAAATAGGTCTGGTCGGGGACTTGAACCGGCGACCCTACGGCTCACAGTCCAAGCCCCTACTGACTGCCATAGATTTAGTCCCTAATTTTGCTCTCAAAATGGACCAGATTGATGCATTTAACTTCAACATTTAAAAAAAAATCTTCCTGGGGGAGAATGCCCCCGGACCCCCCTAGAGGAGGTGAGGTCCACCACCTGCCCACACCCCCTGTTAAATTGTCTCACCCACATTGAGGATGCTTCCTACGCCCATGTTTTATTCCATGTGTCAAGTCAGGCAAATTGGGTCCAAATGTTATTGCATCAATGATCTGTTAACATTAAAATCACTAAATATATGCCGTAACTATTTTGCTCTAGGCAACTCAAGGGCTCAGGTAATGTGATTACTGTATGAATAATTGTCCAAAATAACATAAATGCATAGGGTTTTTTGTTAAGTAACATACTTTCGTCGCCGGCCGGCCGATACATGCCGCGCATTAAGTGGGCCTGTCTGTCAATTAATCCCCGGGCCACTTTTTCCCCCCAGTCCGCCCCTGGTGTGACCCTAGATAACAAACTGTCCTTCACTGCAAACATCGCTGCTAGTGCTACAACCCGCTGCTGCAGATACACGCTTTACAACATCAGGAGGATACGTCCCCACCTGACCCAGAAAGCGACGCAGGTTCTGGTCCAGGCTCTCGTCATCTCACGCCTAGACTACTGCAACTCCCTCCTGGCTGGTCTACCTGCATGTGCCATCCGACCTCTGCAGCTCATCCAGAATGCAGCGGCTCGTCTGGTCTTCAACCTTCCTAAATTCTCCCACACCACGCCGCTCCTCCGCTCCCTTCACTGGCTTCCGGTAACTGCTAGAATCCACTTCAAGACAATGGTACTTACGTACCATGCTGCAAATGGATCTGGCCCTTCCTACATCCAGGACATGGTTAAACCATACACCCCAGCACGTGCACTCCGCTCTGCATCAGCCAAACAGCTCGCTGCATCCTCACTGCGAGGGGGACCCAAGTTCCCATCAGCAAAACACGTGGGTTTGCTATCCTGGCTCCAAAATGGTGGAATGAGCTCCCCATTGACATCAGGACAGCAGAAAGCGTACACACCTTCCGGCGCAGACTGAAAACTCATCTCTTTCGACTCCACTTCGAGCGATAGAACTATTAACAAAGCACTTATTACTAATAAAGGACTGGCTTATCTAAAGCCAGTTGAGTAGCACTTGAAATGTTTTTGCTCTATGAAACCTGATGTACTTATATGATTCTGTTTTCTTCAAGTTTGTATTTTTTGGTCGAACGCACTTATTGTAAGTCGCTTTGGATAAAAGCGTCAGCTAAATGCAATGTAATGTAATGTGGCAGTTGTTCTTTTGAGACTGCCATGGTAAGATGGGAGGCAGGCAGGTAAAATTGCTTCAGGCTGTGACATCGCATTTTATTGTCATTTTGGCTGCGGCCTAATTACTGTACAGTATATGAGGTCCGCCTACTTGCAGTCAGTGCTGCAGTATGGATATCAACGGATTATGTTTACCCTTGCATCGCCACTATTATAGAAATAGTTTGACATGCTGTAAAATACTATTATTTTATTTCTTCATAAAAATATTGATATTAATCTATTTTCTGCCTGCTGAATATGAAGCTACAGTAGCCTACAGCCAGCAACCGTTAGCCTAGCTTAGCATAAATAATGTAAACAGGGAGAAAACAGGCTGGATTATTTCTTGCCAGATGCAGTGACATCAAGTTAACCAGCAGACACTCCAGGAAGTCACCTAGTCCATAAACTAACTCTCCATTAAACCATAACTTAACTTTCTAACATTTAAAAATGCAAACTAGACATAGAACATGTTATCTATGCATCCTCACTTGCATAAACCAAATCATGTTTCTTAATAATGCTCTCATATAACCTTGATCTTATTTTACTAGTCCTAGGAGACCTGAACGAAGACTGTTTTAAATCATGCAAATTCAGTCTATTCAACACACTCTGTAAAATATACAGCAGCAGTTCATAACTAAGAATCTATATGTAGTATTGGAAGGCAGAGGAGTATCATTTGGGAACACGCACTGTTCTGGAAAGTAAAAAGACAGTTCATCTTCTTTCTTCCTCCTTTTTTCTTCTTTTCTTTTCTTTTGCAAGTGTTGGTGCTTTATTTAAATCTATGGTTGGACTGGGATTTACCTTAAACAATGTGAATGTACAGTAGGAAAAAGTATAGTGAGTTGGTGAACTTCTATCAACAATGCATGAGGTATAAATCAAACGCAGGAGCAGAGT